ACGGGGTTTCACCGTGTTGACCAGGATGGTCTCAATCTCTTGACCTCGTGATCCACCCGCCTCGGCCTCCCAAAGTGCTGGGATTACAGGCGTGAGCCACCGCGCCCGGCCTCAGATTGCTGGATAATATGGAAGTTCCAGTTTTAGTCTTTTGAGAGGCCTCCATACTGTTTTCCATAGTGACTGTGCGAAGGGATTTTCCTTTTTGAAGAGGCCACACCCAAATAACACTTGGTCAGACTGAGAATTCTCTTCTGCCTCCTGCAAGTGTTTTCTGACTTGTTCCATGGGACCCACATTCTTCTCTGGCTTTAGTACAGAAATTCTACTGTTTGGATTGTATTAGTCAGGGTTCTATATTAGTCAGGGTTCTCCAGAGAAACAGAACCAATAGAAGAATATATATATATAAAGATACTTATGAGAAGGAATTTGCTCATGTGTTTATGCAGGCGGAGAAGTCCCATGATCTTGCCATCTGTAAGCCGGAGACTCAGGAAAGCTGGGGGTATAAATTCCAGTTCGAGCCCAAAGGCCTGAGAACCAGGAGAGCCAATGGTCTAAGTCCCAGTCCAAAGGCACAATACTGATGTCTCAGCAGAGACACCTATTGCCACCCACAGCCTCTTCTGAGCCTGAGACTGCTTTGGGCCCCCTAGATAATTTATTGCCCTTTGTAGGGAGTGGGGTGGGACAACATTCTATAGAGAGAAAATCACAGGCTTTGGGGTTAGTCAGCATTGGGTTAAAGTCCCAGCCAAAATCACTTATTAGCTGCACAAGCTTGGCAAAGTCACTCACCTCTCTGAGCCTTGGTTTCCATATCTGAAAAATGGGGATAATTATGCCTATTCCAAAGAATTATGCCTATTTCAAAGGATGAGTATGGGGATTACCTAACTTGCTGTCTGCAGCATAGCAGGTGCTCAGTAAATGGTATTTGTTTTATTCATATTTGAGGAGTCAAATACTGGCTGTCGTTTTGCCTACGAAGCCCAAAGCTGTGCTTGAAGCAAGTTGTTGCTAGGTATCATAAATTAGGGGAATGAAGATTCCACCTAGTTTATCTTCGAAGGTCATCCCAGAGTGCCCAATCCCAAGCATTTCAGGTGAAAATTCTTTGTCTCCCCAGGCAACTTCAGCGCTCTGTCTTCACATCTGCCGCTTCCCAGCAGCTGTGGTCACATTTGGTAGGCAGGCAGGGGCCCAGCCCTGACTGAGAACATTGTTGCAAAGACTGAGGAACCGGAAAACACTGTTGCAATCTGCTTGCCCTGAGGTACCCTGTAGAATCAAGGCCCACCCCTAACTTTTCAGCTGTGTGTTTGAGGTGAGAGCCCCATTTCAGAGCCTAGAGTGATCTTAGAATCTAGAGCGATGGGAAAACTGTTAGGACATGTGAGTGTGCCGTGCAATTTTTTTTTTTTTTTTTTGGTCAGGGCCTCACTATGCTGCCCAGGCTAGTCTCGAACTCCTGGCCTCAAGCAGTTCTCCCACCTCAGCCTCCCAAAGTGCTAGGAAGGCATGAGTCACTGCACCCAGGTCCTTGTGCTATTTTGGAGCTGAGGTTAGAGTTTTCTGTCAAAACCAAGAAACTCAGTTATGGATCCATCTCAGAGCTGCACCGGCTGGTGCTATAGGTTCAGGGAGTAAGTAGACCCATCCATGCCCTTGAGGCGCTGTCTGGTGGAGGAACATAGCCACACATACCACTCTTGCAAGCTGGTTTGAAAAATGTACCGTCCAGTCTGTTGGGAGCAGAGAGCAAAGCAGTACCAATTCTGTGTTGGTTGTTCTGTGTGCAACACAGAACACTTCTGTGATCAGATGTGTGGGGGGTTTCTGCCCACCCCCACCCCCCCACTCCCTCACACCAAGCGGTTCTCCAGGAGACACCAACTGGGTGTCCTAGAATTCAATTCCATTCTGACACTGTCCACCTACAGATAGTGTCAGATCTCATAGGTTAGGAGCTCCGCCCCACAAGGCTGCTTTACCCTTCAGGCACAAATTTCAAGATAGCGATGAATAGCCAGAGAGAAGAGATGCAAAGAGCAAGATATGCCCCCTCTAGGCACGTCATCCTCTGAGCACTTCCAAAGTTAAGCACCTTGGAAGCTCATCAATTTTTTTTCAAGAGTTTTCATAGAGCTTAATTGCCAGTCTCCACCCCATTTCTGGAGGTTAGTGAGTTGGTCTGAAAGTTCTATTCCTCTAATTCCCTATTCACTTGGTCTTTCCGGTAACTGGACCCTTTCTGAGACTATCAGGGAAAGAGGCTCTTTATAAATAACAAAAGACACTCCTATCAGAAAACTCAGGAAATGTTGGCAAACTCAAGGGCTTACCAAATATATTTCATAATATATCCCACAGTGGGGAACTACTGCTACAAACTGGAGGATGGTGGGCCAGACAAGGGAATCAGTATGAATACAGCCCCAGAGGTAAGTATGTGAAGAAAACAAAAAATTGAGGTGGGCACGGTGCCTGTAATCCCTGCACTTTGGGAGGCAGAGGCGGGTGGATTACTTGAGGCCAGGAGTTTGAGACCAGCCTGGCCAACATGGTGAAACCCCGTCTCTACTAAAAATACAAAAATTCGCCGGGCATGAAGGCCGGGGGCTGTAATCCCAGCTACTCAGGAGACTAGGGCAGGAGAATGGCTTGAACCCGGGAGGCAGAGGTTGCAGTGAGCCGAGATCACCCCACTGCACTCCAGCCTGGGTGACAGAGTGACTCTCTCTCAAAAGAAAAAAAATTTTTTTTTTTAATCATTAAAAATAATTTTAAGAAAATCGCAAGGCGAGTGGGTGCACTTACAGTTCCAGTCACTTCGGGAGGCCGACGTGGGAGGATCTTTTGAGCCGGGGAGGTCGTCGTTGCAGTGCGACAGGGTCACGCCACTGCACTCCAGCTTGGGTGACAGAGTGAGACCCTCTCTCAAAAAATACCAAAACACACACACACACAAGCGCGCGCGTGCACAAAAAAAACCACCGACAGTTCTTGGGTATGGCTGAGACTTGAGATGCCAGTGGGGTGGGCAGTAGGAGGTGCAGACTAAGGTGTGTGTATATATATACATATATATATATATTTTTATTTTTTATTTTTTATTTTTTTTTAGACGGAGTTTCCCTCTTGTTACCCAGGCTGGAGTGCAATGGCGCGATCTCGGCTCACCGCAACCTCCGCCTCCTGGGTTCAGGCAATTCTCCTGCCTCAGCCTCCTGAGTAGCTGGGATTACAGGCATGCGCCACCATGCCCAGCCAATTTTCTGTATTTTTAGTAGAGACGGGTTTCACATGTTGACCAGGATGGTCTCGATCTCTTGACCTCGTGATCCACCCGCCTCGGCCTCCCAAAGTGCTGGGATTACAGGCGTGAGCCACCGCGCCCAGCTAAGGTGTAAATTTTAACTGAGTCACCCTGCAAGTCCTGAGAGGCCAAGGCTTCACTGTGAGTGGGAGCTGGTAGGCTTAGCAGCAGAAGGAAAAGCAACGTCAAGTTTTGGAGATCACTCGACTTAGGTAAGAGCAGACCGACTGTGCTAGGCATTTTATTTCTTTCGTTCAACAAATATTTGTAGAGTGCTTATTACGTGCCAGAAACTTTCTGGACACTGGGAAACAGGGATGAAGAAGAAACAGATCTAAGCCTTCCTAAGAGTAACCTCCCTAGGTTTCATGGAAGAGGAAACTGAAGATCGTCCTGACTCAGGCTCACGGCTCCAACCCGGGCTTCTGTGGCTGAAGGGCAGCACCTTACTTAGACGTCCCAGCGCACGTGGAGCAGTCTGCGGGTCGGTTGCTGGGCTGCGCGCGCCGCCCGGGCCTCTCCAGTGCCCCGCCTGGCTCGGCGTCCACCCCCAGCCCGACCCACACGTGGGTTCCCGCACGTCCGCCGGCCCCCCCCGCTGACGTCAGCCTAGTTGGTCTACTTAAGGCCCCTCCTGCGCCTGGCTCCGAGTGCTGGAGTAGCTGCCGCCGAGTCCGGATCCCGCTGCTGTGCGCCCCCGACGCCCGCCCGACGTGCATTCCTGGTACGGCGGGGCCCAGCGCGCTCTGCGCAGGAGGGGGAGGGAGAGCGAAATGCCTCCGGCTCTGCTGGCCCAGGCTGCTTGCGAAAGGGTTCTTGCCCCCGGGAAGTTTAGGAGCCGCTTCCCAGAAGCAGAGCCCCCGAGACCTCTGGGCGGTGGCCCACACCACGCGTGTGTTAGGAGCTCGCCGCGCTCTGCTTTTGCTGTAAGCGGGAACCATGGCTTCTGGCCGCGCTGGGGAACCAAGGAAGTGGCCTCACACAACCAGGGGTCGAAAGCCCGGGTGGATGCGGAAAAATAAGGAGACGATAGGCCTAAAGGGTGGGGGATACCTCTAGGCTCGAAATTCGGCGAGCGGTGTAAAACTCGAGGTCCAGTTTCCGGAGCCCATTGAGCCAAAAAAGCCTCGGCTTGTCGGGGCGGGTTCCTGGAATCCGGAAAGGGGCTGAGTACCACGCGGTTTGCATTTTTCTCTTGGGACGCTCGAGAGGTGGGCTCCGTGAGGGCGGCTGCTGTCTGCAGATTATGGGGAGCTCTTTACGCATTTATTAAGCAGATGCTGGTATATCTCCGGCTGCGCTAAGCGCGGCGCATGCAAAGATGAAGCAGGCAGAATCCCAGCCCTACCGCACCTCAGACGGTCAGTTGAGTAGGATCGGCCGCTACCAACTCCTTTTAACAAATGGGGAGACGTTCAGGGCATCTCTAAGGTCTCCGTGAGTAGGTGGCAGAGGTGAGGAGTAGAACTCGTTTTGCATGTCTGTCGCCACCAGACTCACCCTCCCACCCTCCGTCACCCCACTCCCCCCACTCCAGCCCCACCCCCACGTTAAAGGTAGCTTTGGATCCTGGGTCCGCTCACTGAAGCTAGCAGGTGTCCGCAGGAACTCCCTTCCCCCTACCAGGCTAGAAACCTTACAAGGCTGCCTAGAAATAGCAGTGATTTGTAAGGAGAGACCCGACACCAGCTTGGTGACTCTGGGCTGGCTGCCTAGAGGTCCTCTCGGATATTTGCCCTTTTGGGTAGTGTCAGAACAAGACGTGATGCTTTGGGGATGCAGCCTGTGATTTCTCTCCAGCGAATGCAGTGTAGGGTTGGATTAACAGTGGAAAGAATTCGTGAGTTCCACCAAGTAGCTATTAACTCTAGGGCCGCAGGCCTCGGGCCCTCTGCAGCTATTTCTACACTCCCTGTACTGAAACGATTTCTTCATACTGGGCCTGACAGGCCTTTGCCACCAAGATCACGGCAGAAGCTACACCGTGCGCCTCCCTAACAGTCCCTGGTTTCCAGTACAGTACTGCGATTTAAAGTCTGGCGCTGGCCGCGCGCCAGGCCTGGGAGGCCGCAAGCTAGGCTTCACGTGGCTCACGTCTGCCTCGGGGCATTCATCAGGTCGAAAGTCTGAATCCCAGCTCCCTCCCTCTCACCCACCGAGCTGGATAGCTCCAGATTGCCTCTCCTTACGGGCGGGGCTTCTCAGGCTTCAGCGGTCTGGCCTGAGGCCCACTTACCTACGGCCTGCGGCCGCTAGACTAATCGTCTCCGCCCCTGCGTTCTGTAATGCGCATGCGCACGCGCACAAGTTTCCTGAGCTCGCCAATCTTCCGGATTTGGGCGGGGCATGAAACCCGGGCGTTCTGAGGACCGAGTTATTAGTCTGATTTCCGCCCACCTTTCGGAGCCAGAAGGAGAGCAACAGCGCGCATGCGCAAGGGTCACCGCCCGCCCCTGTGCCTTGGCCTCGAACTTTGTGGCAGTTAATGGCTTTTCTCCACATACTCCTGGTTTCTACTTGAGAGGTCTGGCTGTGTCCTTGCTGTAGGAGCCGGAGTGACTGAAGGAGAACTGGGCAGGTGGCTCAGTGATCTTGTGTGAGGAAAGGCCAGCCCCACTTCAGGTTAATAAACCGCGATGGGTGAGCCCTCAGGAGGCTATACTTACACCCAAACGTCGATATTCCTTTTCCACGCCAAGGTGAGGGCCTTCACTCTTCACAGACGCTGGCATTAGGCTTTCAACTCTCTTGGCAACCATTAGGTTTTTTCCCCCTCTCTTTTTAGTCATCTCTTGTGATTTTTAGTGGCAGGTCCCCCAAAAAGAAGTAAAATATGCCCTTTTTCAATACATCTCTTGGTTAATAAACATTAAAGAGGATGTAGTGACTTAAGTGTTTTTCCCCCTGTAGGTTCCTTTTGGTTCCAAGTCCAAAATGGCAACTCTCAAGGATCAGCTGATTCATAATCTTCTAAAGGAAGAGCAGACCCCCCAGAATAAGATTACGGTTGTTGGGGTTGGTGCTGTTGGTATGGCCTGTGCCATCAGTATCTTAATGAAGGTAAGTGAGAGTCCACCACACTGGAGGCGCATACCTTGACCACATCCTCCACCCCAAGAATTGTATTATTACGTTGCATGTAACAATATTTAGGTTTATGCACTCATTGAGATAACTTTCTGTGAAACAAACTTTTTAAGTATGATGATACACCAAAAGCAATCTGAAATGAAAAAGAATGAAAATTTATCAAGCTGGAGACGCAGTTCCTAAAATTCATTATTCCGTATTAACATGCATGAATTAGACTACCAGTGAAAAGGGCCATTCCTTTAAATAATTGAGGCACCTTACAGCATTAAAATACCTGAAGTTCAGATATGGAGTTTCTAATAAAAGTAAAATGATGAACTGTGGGTTCTGAATAAGATGGATTGAAGTGAGAAGGGACTAAAGCAGAAATGAGCTATGAAAAGGCCTTGTAGCAACACAGGACTCTCCATATGTTTTT